TCTCTCTCTCTCTCTCTCTCTCTCTCTCTCTCTCTCTCTCTCTCTCTGTGTTCATGCTCTCTCAGGCATACATGCATGTATACATGTAGTGTGAACATGTGTGCAGAGACCAGTGGTCAACCTCAGGTGTTCCTTAGTAGATATCTACCTGTTTGGTTTTTTTTTTTGTTTTTTGTTTTTTGTTTTTTTTTTTTTTTTTTTTGAGACAGGGTCTCTCACTGAGTCTTAAGCTCTCTAATTGGGCAAGGTCAGTTGGCAGTGAACCCCAGGAATCCTCGTGATTCTGACTGCCCGGTGCTGGGATTACATGCACTACCTTGCCGGGCTTGGTTCCATGGGCACCAGGGATCAATCTCAAGTCCTCACACCTTCATCTGACAGATACTCACTTTTCACAGCATTGTTTTCTTCTTTGAAAACTGAAGTTAGATCATCTGTTTTGAAGCTCTTATCTGTTAGATAAGAGCTGAGTCTTATCTAAGATGTATGAGGCACCTACTCAGAGCTGGCATTCAACAAACATTGGTTCTCATTTTTAGGGGGATCTTGTCAATGTCATGGAGCCAGGCTGATGCTGAACTACTGCTTAGCAGTGCCAAAGACAACCAGATCTTTTGTTGGAACCTGGCAAGCAGTGAGGTAGGCTGGTCCTTCTGCGGGCACGCTGTGATGGAGGTGTGATAGCAGAGGGATCCCGGCTGTGCTCTGAGTGGCCTAAGCCAGCCTCTCCTGGACTGTTCCTAATGGTTATGCTCTCACGGCAGGTGGTTTACAAGCTGCCCACACAGAACAGCTGGTGCTTTGATGTTCAGTGGTGCCCTCGGAACCCTCCTGTCTTCTCTGCCGTCTCCTCCGATGGCTGGATCAGTTTGTACTCTGTGATGGGTAGGAGCTGGGAGGTCCAGCACGTGAGGCAGGCCGACAAGGTTTGCAGGGCTTGGTAGAGAGTTCTGGAGGGAGGAGCTGTCTGTGTTTTAGGGAAGAAAGGACACATAGCTCAGGAAGAAATGGGAGCTATTGAGGAGAGGGAGACCAGGCTGTGGGTTTTAGAGGGATCTATCCTGCCACACTCTGAAGGAAACCGTCATCCTAACTCTTGTTATCCACTCTGAAGCTCTATTTGAGGTTTGTTATCTCATAGTGTGAGCTGACGTATCTCCCTCTCTGCTGCATATCTACTTTGTGTTACACTCCAGTGTAGACTTTAAATATAGCTTTCCAAGAGGCCCACACATCTGAGTCTCCATGCACTCTCACCCTCACCCCCATATCCTAGACTGGGGGAGTCTCTGTTTCTGCATCAAACTGGGCATCCCAAGGACTCATCCCCCAGTTGAGATTGTAGGTAGAGTTCCTCGCTGAGTTCCCCTCGATGTTGGTGACACAGGTGTCCCTTCCCTCCAGATCTCCTCTTCTTTCAGCAAGGGGCACCCTCTCCCACTGCTGCAGGTGCCTGAGCAGGCGGCTCCAGCGTCACTAATCCCGCCCTTGAAGAAGGCCCCCAGGTGGATGAGAAGGCCAGCAGGCGTTTCGTTTGCTGTAAGTGCTGGTCCTGTGCTGTGCTTGCATGCAGTGCCTCGCAGGGGCCCAGCAAGGAGCCAAGTTGGTGTCTGTCTAGCTGCACCCTCACGCAGATGCTTAATCTCACTTCTCCCTTCACCGCCAACACTCTGCAACCTGACTGACCTGCCAGTCCTGTCTAAAAGACATCTGCTGCTTTAGACCTCCTGCTTATGACAAACAGCCTGAGACTGCCCCTGAGATTTCTGTAACTCTTACATGTCTGGACTGCTGGCAAGGAACACAAGGAAGGAAAGAAAAAAACAAGTAGATTTTACCCTGTCCTTCCTCTACTCAAAAGTTTTGAGCTTCCGCTGCCTTGCAGGCTTAAGGCTGTCCATCCGTGGGGCTCCATTCCCTTCCCAGTCTCTTCTTCTGTCTCATTCTTAGGAGTCCCCTGTATTTCAGTTATCTTCCCTCCTATGTCCACTGAATCCCACAGTGGACTTTGAAGACTTCCTAATACCACTTTCTCCATGATACCTGTTCTTAATCTTAGTTAATCTCTATAGAGATTTGTACTCCTGTGATTCTATAACTATAATATAATGTGATATAATATAATATAACATATATTGTGTATCTATATCTGGAGACTCTGCTAAGTAATAGATTCTGTAAGGCTAGGAAGTGCCTTGTTGATTTTCATATCCCCAGAGCAGAGCCTTTTAAACTCCAATGTGAATAAAGGTCACTTGCAGATCTTACTAAAACTCAGGTTCTGGTTTAATGGATCTGATATAGGGCTCAAGATCCCCAGTTTTCCAGCAAGTCTCCAGATGGTATCTTGCTTCTAGTTTGAGGACCCACAGTTTGAGTAGCAAGAAGGCCCTGAAGCACCCGACACACTGCTTTAGATACTGGATTTGATCTAAGGGAAAAAGATGTGTAAGAGGGGATTCTTGTGTTTAGAGGCAGCGGTTTTACGATGAAGGTATGACTTAGGAATGTCTTTATAAAAGAAGAGGAGTGGGCACTGGGATGGAGCTCACTGGAGAGCGCTTGCTTAGCATGCCCTGGTCTTGGGTTTAAATGACTCACACCACCGCCATCAACAACAAAAATGGCAGGGGCAGTCAGGTGAAGAGTTCTTGTCATAGCTCTGTTGCTAATTAGTTAAATGACTCGAAGTCATTTAACCCCTCAGGACTTCAGTATCTTCTTTGTAAGACAGAAGTAGCAGTGCCTGCCAGCCCAGCATTCTGTAACATTGTCAAATACTATGGAAATTATAATAATTGAAATGGTTTTGTTGAGCACTAAGTTGTGCTCTAAAGTTTGTTCTGTAAGCGATATAATTATGACTGGAGAATTCACTAAGCAAGTGGGTTAGGAAGGGAAATAATGACTAGTTAGGGAGTGGGGCAGTGTGTCAGTCTTGGTAAAACACTGGAATAACTTGAGGGTTTCAAAATGACTGATGCTACTCTCACCCAGCTCCTGGTGTCCTTGTCTGGGGTGTGGCCTGGTGACTGGAGAGCTTTCCAGGTGTTTCACTGTGTGGCCAAGATTGAGACTGGTTGGAGGAAGGGTCGCTAAAGCTCTGGCTTTGTGTCATCTGCTTGATGTGAAGTGTCAGATTTGGCTGGCTAGAGGCCTCAGATGGGGTGATGTTGTAGGTAACGACCCAGAAGTGGGCAATGTGGAGCAGTCACATAAATGATCGAGAAGAAAGTTGCTGGGTAGACATGTTTGGCCCTGACTTTTTCGGGTTTTGTGCATGCCTGTGTTCTTCTGTGGTCTGTCAAACCATCATACAGTGTGGGTAGCAGCAGGGGTGTGTGAGCAACAGGCAGGCTCTAAGCCCTGGGTTGGAAGAGTGGAAAAAGACAAAGGCTAGCAAGCACTTCTAGGAATGGAGGTGTGCTCACAAAGGGTGTGGGAAGGAGAGTATCCGCATTGGAGACATTGAACAAGACCCTGGACGATAAGCTTGGCTGTGGTGGTGTGTACAGCCTGGGAGAGCACCACTGTGTCTACACTAGGTGCCTGAGGAGTGGTGGTACTAGGAGTGGGAAGTGGGAGAGTTCCATGAGGTGACATTTGAAGCTTGTGATAGTAAGATTGCTATTATAATAATTGCTATTATAACGAGGGCCCATTTGGCACTCAGTTCCTGATCCTGTTCCATCCTACCAACTTTCTGTTGGTTTCCCGTCTGTCTTGGTCACTGTTCTATTGCTGTGAACAGACACCATGACCAGGCCAACTCTTATAAAAGGAAGCATTTAATTGAGGGCTTGCTTACAGTTTCAGAGGTTTAGTTCATTATCATCAAGGTGGGGGAGCATGGCAGGATGCAGGCAGACTTGGTAGCTGAGAGATCTACATCCAGATCTGTAGGCAGCAAAAAGAGAGAAAGCCACTGGACCTGGCTTGGACCCTTGAAACCTCAAAGCCTACCCTCAGTGACACACTTCCTCCATCAAGGCCACATCTACTCCAACAAGGCCACACCTTCCAATCCTTCCCAAGTAGTGCCACTCCCTGATGACCAAGCATTCAAATATATGAGTTATTGGGGGCTATTCTCATTCAAACCACCACATTATCCAAGGCCTGTCCAACAGATAGCCTTCTCTGAAATCTTAACTTGGTGTTAGCTATTGGCTTGAAAGTATAATCTTTTCCCTTTTTTTACATTTTCTCACCAGTTTGGGGGAAAGCTGGTTACCTTTGGCCTTCCCAGCATCCCTGTCCATCAGATGCCCCAGCCTTGCCCCCGCCTTGTCTACCTCAGTCAAGTCGTCACAGACTCAGACGTCCTGGCACGGTCTGCTGTGCTGCAGGAGGCCTTGGGATCCGGAAATCTCCTGAATTATTGTCAGAGCAAGATTCAGCAAGCTTCACTGCCATGTGAAAAGATGCTCTGGCAGTTCCTGAAGGTAGGAGCCTTGAAGGCTGGCTGCTCTTCCCTAAAGATCCAGACCTCAGCCCTTGGCAACTCCACGAGATGTAGCAAGCACACTGTGACCCATTCAAGAAGCACATCCCTGACTCGGTGTTTTTATGTTCTCTGGACACAGGGTCTTTATCCTTTACCTTCACCCTTTCTAGAGGCTCAAAGGCCACTTGAAAAGATGCTATTGTTGGTGTCCTGGGTATTTTACCAGTCAAGGCAAATGCTTTCATAGTATCATGCCAAAGGAAAGATTCATTGGAGGGATTGATGAACATAAAAAGTTTTGGGGTTTGTTTGATGTAACTCAGGGCAGGTCCCTGTTGGGTCACTCCACGTCAGCACCAGGGATGTAGTCCTAGTCTTCACTCTGTCAAGTTCTAACATGGAGGAGTGTGTGCTTGTGGCAGACAGAGAACTAGCTTGTGGCAGAGTACCTGCCTAGCATGCATGAGGCTTGGAACTACAGCTCTCTCTCTCTCTCTCTCTCTCTCTCTCTCTCTCTCTCTCTCTCTCTTCCTCTCTCTCTCACACACATTCACATGTAAACACATACAAAAGCACATGTGCATACACTCACACGCATGTGCACACACACAAAATAAATAAATAAAGGTAAACTGGGATACTCAAAGCTGTCCATCTCAGGGCCACTGTGGGTTCCACTTGGCATCAGTCTCCTCAGAGAGTTTGGAGACCAGGAGCACAGCTTATCACAGGGTAGTGTCAGTGGCACTGTCCTGTGGTAAAGTCTTTCCAGTACTTGATACATCAATTCAGAGTTCTCCTTAGCTCCCCACACAGCTCAGACACAAGGAGATGACCCAGGTGGACACAGGCAGGTGTATAAGGTGTCCTGACTTAGAACTGCTCAGGCAGAAAGGCCAACAGCCAGTTTCAGAGTCCACAAAGGAATATGTCCAGTAGCCAGAGTCCATGAAGCTAAAAACAAACAAACAAACCAAAAAACCCTGACATGGTATCCATGTCGGTTATATATGGTTTGCATAGTTCAGGCCACATGCAATAACCAATCAACTACAACAGAAGTGCCTCCAGACAGCCAATGCTTTACTCTCACTGGGTTGCCAGGGTAACTGAGTTAGGAAGTCAAGGGAAGGGACAGTTCTCATGCAGAAGTGGCAAAGGGTTGTGACAATGCTGTCCACAGCCCAGCAAAAACCAGATCGGAGGAAGAAAGGTAAGAGGGAGCACCGGTGTTGTGAGGGTACTTTTGATGGCATGTGGAACTGTATTTGAGGGTACACTCATACCGATGTCCACCATGGCATAGGAGAAGGGTCATTCACATTCATGTAATGGAAATGTTTCTGCGTTTTCCGGTTCCTTAGGTGACCTTAGAGCGTGACTCTAGGCTGCAATTCCTCAGGCTGTTAGGGTTCAGCAAAGATGAGTTCCAGAAGAAGGTAAGCTTTTCACGTCTGAAACACGCTTGCCTTAGAGAGCAAATAGCCCTGCTGGAGGAAACTGCCCCAGGTCACCCGGCCATCATTTACCACAGATGTGTATTTTACCCCCTGGAATTAGGACTTCTCCAGAAAAGTGGGTGAAGGATCTTGGAGAGTATAGGTGTGGTGCATGGTTGGGGTGACGTAAGACTTGGGGGAGCCTGCACTGGGAGACTGGTATTCATAAGGCTCTCCTCACAGGTGGACACATGCTTGAAGAAGGACTTGAAGTTAGGGGGAAGCCCTCGACTTGAGGCAGTTGACCTCAAAAGTGAGAGACCACACCCCTTTTGCCACCAGGTATGGTAGGAGGCCAGGCCACCTGACTTGAGTTATTGCACGGGAGACCTGCTGTTTAGGGACCGTTCTCCCCGTTGGCCCTTTACCTGTTCTCGGTAGACTTCTGGAGGCGTCGCTGCTCTCTTGGAGCCAGAGTGGGACATGGAGTCCACAGGGCACTCCCCAAAGCCACCTGCGCATTCTTTTCGTTTTGTGAGCTCGGGCCCAAATAGTAGAGCTTCGTTTGAGAGCATGAGCTCTCTTTTCTGGTTTTGGTTCCTACGCAGTCACATCTGTCCTTCTGTGGACAGGCCTCCAAACACACCACTGAGGAAGCCTCTGCATCCTCGGCCTTCTTTGATGAGCTGGTTCCTCAGAACATGACTCCATGGGAGATCCCCACCACAGAAGGTACCTGGCCCCGGGGAAGCAGGTGACCCAGAGTTTTTGGTTTTAAGAGTCCCTATTATCTCATGCCTCCCACCTAAAATCTCAACTCTGGGTGGGCCTTTTAGTGCTCTCTCTAGTCAGAGTCTAAAATGGGTGCTGCCTACAGATGGCCTCTGCTACGGTCCTTTTTCTATCCCTTAGTCTTCCTGTTAAAAGGACTGTGACCTTGCCCATGCTGAGCAAGCATACATCATGCCTGAGATTCTGCACACAAGGCCCTCTCTCTTTGAGTCCTAGAAAGTTAGAAAGTTACAGTTGGACCACGGCACCCTGGGACACCACATTTTGTTGCCCAGAAATGAAATGTGGGAGTTTTGTGGAACCAGGCAGGCTGAATTAGAGATAGAGTTTGCAGACAGGCCTCCAAGCACACCCTGGAGGAAGCCTTCACATCCTCAGCCTTCTCTGAAAAGTTGGAACCAAAGGGGGAAGGTGATGTGGTGTCTTAGGGACAAGACGTGAACGTACGAGGGCTGGCTGACGGGGTGGGGGCGCCCCTGTGTGCAGACACTGATGGACTCCTGAGTCAGGCCCTGCTGCTGGGGGAGCTGCGGCCTGCTGTGGAGCTGTGTCTGAGGGAAGAGCGCTTTGCTGATGCCATCATCCTGGCTCAGGCTGGGGGTGCGGAGCTGCTGAGGTGGACACAAGAACATTACTTGGCCAAGAGGAGAACCAAAATCTCTCCGGTACTGTCCATCATGCAGGAGAAGAAGGGAGGGGGATTACCTGGGTCTGGACAGGCAGAGGCCATCCATGCCTTGGGACTGGTGTTCAGAACCCACCTGTGTCCCTGCTCTAAGGACCTCTACTTCATGGCTAGCCCTGTTGAGTGTTCTGACATGAGTGGCTTTATTGGAACCTCCCTGTGTGTGACACCGACTGACTGTGCTGGATGGAAGGCTGAGGGTCTCTTTCCCTTTCTGCCCAGTACAGCTTCTAGCCTGTGTTGTAAAGAAGAATTGGAAAGACCTAGTATGTGCCTGCAGCCTGAAGAACTGGAGAGAGGCACTGGCTTTGCTGCTGACATATTCAGAGCCAGAGAAGTTCCCTGAGCTCTGTGGTAGGTGTGACTCCAGCACGTCAACAGACTTATAGAGGAGGAGACAAAGAGTCAGCCGGGACTCTGGGAGGCAGGGCTCGCCAGGAGGCAGGGACTATAGTAGCTCACATGTTCTCCTATTCCTCTGTGTCACATCTTGTGGCAAGTTCTTTGCCTTTCTCTAGAGAGCAAGGTCAGTCTGAGTTAGCTTTTCTTTAAAAGAGTTCTTTTTTTATCTTTATTTATGTATATGAGTATTTTGCTTGCATGTATATAAGTGAATGAACCATGTGAATGCCTGGCCCCCGGGGAAGGCAGAAATAGATTTCCTGGAACTGGAGTTGTAGAGAGCTGTGAGCTGCTGTGTGGGCTCTGGAAATTGAACCTTCACCCTCGAGAAGAGCAGTGTGTGCTCTTCACCACGGAGCGATTGTACACTCTTGTGTCAGAGCTCACGCTAGTCCACTTGTTTCCAAATACGAGAAGGAAGAGCAGCGCAGGGAAGCTGTGCTGTCAATCAAATCTGCATCTCTCCACAGACGTGCTGGGAACTCGGCTGGAGCAGGAGGGAGGCAGGGCACTCACTTCTGAGGCCAGACTCTGCTTTGTGTGCTCAGGAAGTGTGGATCGGCTGGTGGAAAGCTGGGCAAAATGCCAGCCAGCCTCGTGCCCCGTGGCTCTGCAGGTACCTCTTCCCTGCCCAGCTCCGGCCACTCCCCTCTTCCCTGCCGAGTTCCGGCCACTCCAGGTGCTAGGGAGGAGCAGAGAGCCCTCAGTGTCTGATGCCTTCTCCCAAGGATGAAATGATCACCTTATTCCCTCAGGATGCGAGCTTGGGTATGAGCTTTCATAAAATTTTCCCATCCAAGGATTCATCATACAAGTCAATTTAATATTTGATTAATAGTTTCTGTGAAACATGCTATGGATCTAAACTCTATCAGGTGCTCTGTGGGTAAGCAGAGAAGGTAAAGTCACAGACGTGTGAGGAGACCGGGTCTCATGAGACGAAAGTATAGCAGAGTCTGGTTGACGACATACTATCAAGAAGGGACAGAAAGTACCGAGAGGAGACAGAGATGCATAAGAACCCAAGGCCTGGATGCAGCCCATTGATCCCAGCCTTAACAGCCTAGGAGTGAGGCCTCCTCTATCATGTCTCTGACATGTGACTGTCTGTTGCCTTCACCATGGTGTGTCCAGGTGCCCTCGTTTCCATGGTATGGTGTTCCTGGGTGAGCCACCTGGACACAGCAAGATATGCTTGGAAGAGGTTGATCACCTTCATCCTTGTCCCTACAGGACCTGATGGAGAAGGTGATGGTCCTTAGCAGGAGCTTGGAACTACTGCAGGGTTCTGACAAGATGAGCCCAGGTCCTGCCACAGTCTACAGGCTCACCCAGTACGCCAATCTCCTGGCAGCCCAGGGCAGCCTGGCCATTGCCATGAGCTTCCTACCCAGTGACTGCATCCAGGTGAGGGTGGCCATGATAAAGACCAAATCATCTTATTCCTTGATCTGACACTGAGCATATCCATGTTTTAGGCACTATACTAATGCTGTAGTGCCTGGGAGAAATAAGATCCCTTAGGCAGCTCCCAGTCTGTTAGGAGAGACCGTATCAGTAATTTCCAGTGTCGTAACAGAGGATTGCACTAAGCACGTCAGGGAAGAGGCTGGTTTTTCTGGAGAAGTGAAGGAAGACTTTCCAGTGCTTAAAACAGTTGGACTGGACCTTCAAAGAGAAGGGCATGTAGGGCACTCCCAGAGGGGAGAACAGCCAGGAGTGGGGGGCATGCAAGTGTTTGGCAGGGACTAGAGAACTGTGGGTCTCTTCAGGTTACTGAGGAACATAGACAGTAATCCAAAGCTTGTTTGCAAGACGCTCGCCTGTTCTAGCTTTCTAACGGCTCTTCCATATTACAACTCCAGCCAGCGGTTCAGCAGCTGAGAGATCGGCTTTTTCACGCCCAAGGTTCCGCCGTCTTGGGCCAACAGGCTCCCCCTTTTCCTTTTCCCCGGGTTGCTGTAGGAACTGCCCTCCACCCCAAAGAGAAGTTATCCTACAGAATGGGATCCCAGCCTCCTGACCAGGTGAGAGCTTGTCTGTTCATTCATTTATTCATCCATTCAAACATATTTATGGACCAGCCATGGTTGTAGACATTGGAATATTTTAGTAAACAAAACAAGATAGAAATTCATAGCTTCATAGAGCCATACTAGATTCAGTTATTTTTTAATAACTGTTTATTGAACAAACACTAGGCTCTTAGAACATAAGGGACACAAATATAATCTTTGCCCTCACATAGTTCATCTAGTGGAAAGCTAAGGTTGTCTTAGTCAGGGTTTCAATTGCTGTGAAGAGACACTATGATCACGGCAACTCTTACAAAGAAAAACATTTCATTGTGGTGGCTGCTTACAGTTCAGAGGTTTAGTCCATTATCACTGTGGTGGGACAGGCAGACATGGTGCTGGAGAAGGAGCTGAGAGTCCTACATCTGAGTCCACAGGCAACAGGAAGTGAACTGTGTACCAACCACACTGAGTATAGCTTGAGCAAAGGAGACCTCAAAGCCCACCCCCACAGTGACACACTTCCTCCAACAAGGCCACACCTACTCCAACAAAGCCACACCTCCTAATAATGCCATTCCCTTTGGGGGCCATTTTCTTTCAAACCACCACTATGTAGACCAGACTGGTCTTAAACTCACAGAGATTCACCAGCTTCTTCCTACTGAGTACTAGGCCTGCACCACAATACTGAACTTGAAAAAGAGATTTCTTTTTGTTGTTGGTGGTGCTTGGTTTTGGTTTTGTTTTGTTTTGTTTTGTTTTCGAGACAGGGTTTCTCTGTGTAGCCCTGGCTGTCCTGGAACTTGCTCTGTAGACCAGGCTGGTCTTGAACTCAGAGATCCACCTGCCTCTGCCTCCTAGTGCTGGGATTAAAGAGATGTACCACCACCACCTGGCCCCTGAAAAAGAGATTGATTGTGAATGTATTATAGTGTGTGTGTGTGTGTGTGTGTGTGTGTGTGTGCGTGTGTACATATGTGGGCGTGCGTGTGTGCCATGGTGCATATGCAGAAGTCAGAGGACAAACTGTGGGAACCAGTTCTCTCCTTCCACCATGTGTAACAAGCCATCTCACCAGCCTTGATTGGCTGCTCTGGATCACGTTATTTAGACAAGGGAGGGGCACTTTAGGGCTGTTTCAGGCACGGGGGCAGATGTGCAAAGCGGAGGAAACAACGGCCTTTGGAGGAACTGCTAAAACGTCAGTGGGTTGTGGTCTTGGGATTGGGTTAAATAAAGGAATACCAGATGGGAAGTAGAAGGCCGAGAATCTGGCATTTGTACTGAAGAACTTAGGCTTGACCCCGGTGTTGGAAGAATTGGCCACACCACACCAGCTCCCTGACCTTTTTCTCTCTTCACAGGTCCCAGCTCCATCTGCAAGGCCAAGGGCCACAGCTCAGCCATCATTAGTGATGCCCTTCATACCCTCCCAGCCCAGCCCTTCTCAGGGCTCACAGACACAGTCTACAGGTGACTACAGGGTACCTGGGCCCCAGGCAACCCTGCCTCTGCATTTGGGCCCTGGTGAGTAAGGGAAGTCTATTCTGGTGAAGTACCAAGGTCTCAGGAGAGACAGACATACTGCCTCCCCAGTACATGCTGACAATGCCTAGAGAGAACATTGTTTTGTTTGGGGACAGAGTCTCTTGTAGCCCAGGCTAGCCTCGAACTTGCTGTGTAGCCAAGGATGACCTTAAACTAACCTTCCTGCCTCTACCTCCAAGTGCTGGAACTACAGGGGTATATCCAGCTTGTTTTGTCTTTTTAATAACTTTTTGCAATTCTTTTTTGGGAAAATTGCTTTGAGATTGAAGTCTGAATTCCTAATAGTGTCTTTTACTGAATCCCCCCTTATATTCTCTCTCTCTCCCTCTGTCTCTCTCTGTCTCTGTCTCTCCCTCTCTCTCTGTCTCTCTCCATCTCTCCCCCTCTGTCTCTTGTCCGTCCCCCGTCCCCGTCCCCCTCCCCCCCCCTCTGGTTAATGACTTGGTAATTTTGACAGTATACCGAAGTAACGATGTCAGTCATTTCAATTCACTATGATTATTTTGAGGGTCAAATAAGGACAACAGTTAAAAAGTACTTGGAAAATTGTAGATTTCTCTCTGCATGTGCTAATCATTCCTTGTTATTATCAGGTGTGGGTTTACAAGTGGTTTTTGGGGGGGGGGTTGGACTCCCGCTTGGTTGCAAACTCTTGGTCTCCAAAGATCTCGTCTCAGCCTCCCAGGTGTCACGCAGGTGTGACACCACACTCCCTCTTTTATTTTTGTGTTGCTGATTTGTTCCTGCGTGATGGCCTGAGTCTCTCCCCAGATGAAGTTAATGATAAAGTACCGGTTTCTCTTCTCCTTCAGCTTTACCTCAGCCGCAGCTCTTAGGACAGAGTGCTCGCGCTGCAAACCCGGTTGGCTTCTCTGGAACATGGCCTCTTCCCGGTCCCTGTCCACCCACGGCATCCCCAGACGCCATGCAGCCTGGCTGTCCCCTGCTGCCTCAGACTCCCAGGCTGCTCCCTCTGGCTCCTATGGGACCACCAGGTCCCAACCCTCTGAGCTCCCCGCCCTCAGGCTCTCCTGTCACTTTTCCTGTGGCTGGCCCTCCTGGAGGGCCAGGGGCTCCATGCTCCAGGACCCTCCCAAGCACTGGCATCTGGACTCCCCATCCAGGTCAGTCTTCTTTCCATGGCTTCTTCTTGGGGGTCATTGCCTCACTCCCCCATTCCCACGACTACTTTGGGAGTCTTTTTTCTGCCAAGACCTTTTGTCAGCTAGAGTATGACCGATCTACAGAGGGAAGTATGGCCAACTCTAACCAAAATAATTTTCCCAGCTTTTAAACGCTTCCAAGGTCCTTGACCATGTCCTTAGAACCCCCATTTTTTTATGTTCTTTAGGACCCCAGGATGCCTGGCAAGCTGCTCCAGCCACTTGGGAAACGCTCCCGAGGAGAAAGGTCATGCACCTTTCCCTGCCCGGTGATCCACTCTTTAGTCCTTTAAGAATTATTCAGCCCTGCCCTGCTCTGAGTTAGTCTCTGCCTCTTCCTCCTGCACACATCTTTCTGTTTCCCAGTTCCCTGCTCGCCGCCGTTTCTTGTTCAAACTCAGAGCCTGTAGCATCTCACAGTTCACTCCTATGCTTTTCTTCATCTCCTCAGCTGCCAGAGACATTTATACCTCCAGCACCGATCACAGCTCCAGTTATGAGCCTCGGCCCTGAGCCAGGACAGACCCTGCCGCCACAGCCCCAAGTCTCTAGTGTGAGCTGGTCTCCTCCCGGAGCCCCAAGAGAAGGCAGCCTGCAGGTGACCAGAACAGTGAGTCCCCTGGGAGGCTTTCCAGTCCTGTGTGGGCAAGAAAAGTGAGATCATAGAGACTGGATTCCTTGCTCAAGGTAGAAGTAATCCTTGAGCCTGAGCTGAGGATGTCCTTCCTGCAGAGGAGGGGGGTGAGGGGTGGGAGTGGGGGTGGGGTAGCTTGGCCTTGATGGGAAGCGTGACCTCGAGTCACAGGTGACTGAGCCTTAGGGAGGCCGTGCGGACAGACGGACAGTTCTTCCTCACTGCTCCTCATTAACAACTGCAGCAGCTGCCTCCTGAGAAGCCGGGAAGGAAGGAGCTGCCCCCAGAACATCAGTGCCTGAAGGACAGCTTCGAGGCACTTCTCCAGCGCTGTTCTCTGTCTGCCACTGACCTAGTAGGTCTGACCCTCCCCCCAGTGCCCCCCACATCCTCGGAAGGCTGCTAGTGCCTCGGGTGGAGACCAGCTGCTCCCTTACTGTCCCGCACACATTGACTGTGTCTGCACGTCCTTGATGTCCAAATGAAGTGGGGAGGGCCTGGAGTCTAAGTCCCACTTCTCAAGAGCAGGACCAAAGAGCATGGGGATTCGCAGGGGCAAGGCCTTTAGCAAAGGGGGCGTTGGCAGAAGAAAGCTCCCTGGCTAGCTGTGTCGGCCACCCGGGCAAGTCTCTTGCCATCTTTGGGCCTCCACTTTGTGAAATGCAGGAAATGGCACTGAGCCGTGCTAGCTGGTATATCTCAGGGGTGTTTGTAGTGCTGTACAGTGTGAGCCTCAGGGGTGGGGTCAGGATCCATTTTCCTCCCTGCAGAAAACAAAAAGGAAGCTGGAGGAGGCGGCCCAACGTCTAGAATGTCTATATGAAAAACTTTGTGAGGGGTCGGTGAGTACCTGACTGACGACGGCCTCTGCCTGGCGCCTGTCCACTGCCAGCCACAGTCAGAGAGGCCCAGAGTCCCTTCCTCCCAGTCTCAGAGCCAGCAACCTGCCCGCTTGTCCTTTCTCTGCTGTCAGGGTCCGGGCTGGGCTGGCCTCACCTAATCTCAGGGTCAATCCCTCCACAGCTCTCACCCCACGTCCTGGCTGGGCTCCACCAAGTTGCCCGATGTGTGGATGCAGGCGGCTTTGAGCAGGGCCTTGCGGTGCATGCCCAGGTGGCGGCCTGCAGCAGCTTCAGCGAGGTGTCCAGCTTCATGCCTGTCCTGAAGGCTGTCCTCACCATCGCTCACAAGCTGCAGGGCTAAGCCGGGCAGCCTCTTCCTCCAGGAGGCCTTTCTGATGTCGCTCACCTCCGCGTGCAGAGCGGGAGGTTTTCAATAGGTTGTGTTTATTTCTCCCAGTATTTCCCCTTGCTGCCGGCTAGGCATGCTGGGGCTTGGCTCCACACCGGCTGAGTGCCTGTTTCCTCCCTCTTTGTGCCTGCCCACCTGGGCTTTCCTAGGGTGCTTTCAGCCTGGGAGGTGGAGCGCAGAGTCCGGTCTTCCTTTCCCTAAGCTGGAAGTCCTACAGGGTCTGCACCAGAATGTCTCACCCAGAGATATTCTGTTCAGACGGTTCAGAGAGGGTCAAGAGTCTGTCATCGGTTCAGTCTGCCTCTGCCATGACTCATCTTGTGAGTCTTGTTCTTTCTCTTCTGGAGCTGGAGTCCAACTGTCCTGTCCCCCCTGCCTCTGTCTTCATATTTTAAGGTCAATTTTATTGTAGCCCCAGGGAGTTGGTTGATGGCCACTTTTTCAACAAGTCATGGACATGAGGATTGGGTGTGGGTGTTGAGCAAAATCAAGAGAGGAAACTGGACCTTTAAAAAATGAAAACTTCTCATGTATTAGCATTACTCAGGGTGGGCTGTACCTCATGTGTTAGCATTACTCAGGGCGGGCTGTATCTCGTGTGTTAGCATTACTCAGGGCGGGCTGTATCTCGTGTGTTAGCATTACTCAGGGCGGGCTGTATTAGGTGGCCAGTGGAAGAATGAAGTGCCTTTGTTTAGAGTATGAGGTAGAAGCCTGTAGAGCAGCAGTTCTCAACCTGTGGGTCATGACCCCTTTGGGGGGTCAAACAAACCTTTCACAAGGATCGCCTAAGACATGGGAAAACACAGATATTTATATTACAATCCATAACAGTAGCAAAATTGCAGTTATAAAGTAGCAATGACATAATTTTGTGGCTGGGGGTCACACTGAGGAACTCTATTAAAGGGTCACAGCATTAGGAAGGTTAAGAACACTGCTGTAGAGAATGACCTTTGACACTGCCCACCCAGGCTTGAGCCTGGCCCTAGGCCTTACACTATCCAGTCTGCGATTTTTAAGCCCGACTCTGGAATCAGAGCCCGGCTTCTCATGGATCCAGGGCCCTTCTTTCCCTCAGCTGCCTATGTCTCTGAACTGCTTTCTCTGGCTGTATTTCCATGCTGACCTCTTAAACAGTGCAATAAAGTGACTTGCTTTCCAAAGTCGTTTCCCAATCCTTGTCTCCTCTGGATCCTACTTTGCTGATGCTTCCCTTTCAAGAACAGAGAAGTCGTGCTTCCTCTACTATATAGGAAGGCAGGAGGAGAGGTCTGGGGAGAGATAAGAATAAAATATTGAGGAAAAGAACATAAAAAATATGTGTATGAGTGGTTAGCCTGCATGTGTGAGTGTGTTCTATGTTTAGTACTTAGTGCCTACAAAGGCCAGAAGAGGCGCCTAGTGGGTGCTGGGAACTGAATCCATGTCTTTGGAAGAGCAGCCATCTCTCCAGCCCAAGAAAATGATTTTCTAAAGCATAGACCCATGGACTCGGGCAGCAAGCTTTTCCTTGCAGCGTATGTAGCTACACTGCTCGGTGTGTGTGTGTGTGTCCCTGTCTGTCTGTCTGTCTGTCTGCATCTGTGCCTGACAGCTAGCTGCAGGGTTTCCCCCACACCACTTCAGGGCTGAGCTCAGCTGCACAAAGGGCCTGGGTGTGGAGCCAGGGGGAACCGGCCCTAACCCTGTTGTCGACCCCATCATGTCTGCAGGCTAGATGCGTGTGTTTGGGGGGAGGGATTGTTAGGCAGTATTTGTTTGTAAAGCCACTTGCTCTTCAGATAATACTTGTGCTAACTTCTATTGATGAAGCAGTGTGAGCCCCAGCAAAGTCCTTTCCCAAAGTGTCTTTGAAGCCAAGAGCCCATTGAAGGGAAGAAAGGCCGGGAGAGGGGATTAGTTTGTTCAGCAGCTGTGAATTTCAGTGGGAGGTTGATGAACTCTGAAGTCTTTGTTTAAATTAAAGGGGGGGGGGGGCGGCTGCTGGAGCGAGAGCCCCACTTGGGGCCCTGAACTAACACAAGGAGAAGTCTGAGCCGCAGGGAGCTGTGTACTGACTGTGGAGACTTTTCCCAAACACTCTCGGAAAAGGTGTTGTGTGGAGAGAAAGGGCGGGCGGAGTGGCGGATTAACATGTGAAATGAAGTTTTCATTGACTCCGGCGGGGGTAGAAGGCTGTTTTAATGGCATTTTGTTCCCCCTATTTTCTCTTCTGGAGCTCTTTAGAGATATTGTTTTGCTAAGACAGGCTTTCTTCCCTTTTCTTTCCAGTCTGCGGATTGCCTCTATGGGAGCCAACATAAATATTTCTCCTCCAGGAATGTGGGTTAATTAAAAGGAAACGAATGACTGGAAGCATCCAATCCAGACCGACAATAGGCGAGTGCCCCGGCCTGCCCTCCCCTCCCTCCACCGCCCGCCCTACCAGCGTGCCGAGGACGACCCTTCCTCTCCTTGCGCTGACCTGCTCCTAAGGCCAAGTGAGGCTGGGATTCTTTTAAAGAAAAGAAAGCCCTGCCTGTGTGTAGGTTCACAGGCCAGAGACAGGAAGGAGACAGGGTTTTGCTCACCCCACCCAGTTCTCGTCACTTCTCAGACCCTCCCTCCACTTCTCTGCTCCGGCGGCGTCGGAGACAGATGGGCTCCTTGAGAGCACACAAGAGGAGGGAAGGGCCTGGGTGGCTGTGCCACCCCACACTAACTTACAAGCCTGTCAGCTTTCTCTCCACATCAGTTGAAATGTGTAGAGCGAAGGTGTGACGAGCTGACCTCAGAGGGGCCTAGTCTTCCCAGTCAGCAGTTCTAGAGTTTCCTACACAGCCGAGGTGATCTGGTGTGTAAGCCCAGAAGCCTCGGACTGAGGGATGCTGACGTGTGGTTAGCTGTCTCCACTTCAGTGTTCACTGAATGAACAATACATGAAGGCATAATGCTGGCGGGGGGGGGGGGGGAGCGGCAGGACTTCCTTCATGGAGCTGCAATGAACTGGATGTCAGTCATACCCACTTGGGGATACAGAGCAACCTGTGAAAGAGATGACAGCCTCATGTGTTTAGGGTCTGACTTTAACGTTCTGAAGGTTGAAGCGCAGAGCTTCCGTTTATGCTGAGAGCCCCGGAAAGTGCAGCTTCACTTTCCAGCACGGAACTTCATACTTTTCAGCCTGTTCCCACGATTCCTTCTGTCCACTATCACGTAACGGTCGGGCGAGACAGAGGGATCAACACGCTGCCTCTTGATGAGGGGAAAGAAAGGGTAACTTGGGAGACTGAGAAAGCACAGGTAACCGAGGGAGGGGAAAAGAGCCTTTTACTAATAGAGCTAGAAGTGAAGTACCAAGAGAAGTGCATCCCCTGCTAAAGAAGAAAAAAAAAACACCCCCAGTTAAGCGTGGAGAGGACCAGAGGATGCACAGAGGTCTGACTGGCTGATGCCAGAGGCAGTCTACTCTTCCAGGGCGGCCCCTGGGGCTTTGGTGTTGTGAGCTCTGTACTTCCTTTAGGAAAAGGGAGATGAAGTGAAGAATTTCACTGGCTCTGCTCCAGGAATGCTGTGGATGCCGATGCCCATGCCCAGGACTAGCCGAGGGCAGGAGCAGCGGTGGGGAAGGTCTGGGCTGGACTGGCTCCTCCGTTGCCAGATCCCTATTTCATAAACAAGTCCCTGCTGGACTGCCCTTCTCCGAGAAAGGGACCTCGGCCTCAGAAGCGGCAAGCTCTTGGCTTCCAAGTAAATGCATTAGTGGAAGATTTATGTGGGTGATTTACTAATCCCTGGCAGATTAACCTCAGCCAAATCGAGCTAACTACTTAGGCCGTTGGGGAGGCTACAGGGAGATGGTATCCTGCCAAAGTGGGAGGAAGCAGAGAGCTTATGGCTTAAATTTCTCCTCTGCCTTCCCCTCATCGTCCAATGAGTTCAGGATCTGGGGGGAGGGGTGTGTATCAGAGACTGAAATAAATTAAAAGGTCAGGGTTCTGAGCATCCTATCAGCAACAGTCTCATAGCAGGGGGATTACTTCTCCAGGGAAGTATCCAATGGTCTGAATCCTGTGTATTTGAGAACCAGGTGTTGGGGCCGGACTTCTTCCTATGTATGCCCTGCCTTTAGAGGTACAGATCCAATCGTTGTCTTGATTTACCCGTCTTGGCTCAAACGATCAAAGCTCCTTTGGAGAAGGAGACACGGTACAGATGGCTGCTATGGTCAGGAAATGATTGCCAACCTGCCCACTGCCGACCTCTACCACTCCAGGCCTTTTGGGTGTGTCTGGAGTATCTTTGGTGTTTAGGAAGGTCACTGCTCAGCTAATAAAGTCCGTCAGTGAGTGGTGTCACGGTGTGCAAGTTGGGTTTTGGGGTTCCTCTTCCCCACATTCAAAGGCTTTCTTGTTCCCAGTTTTTGTTTTGTTTTTCAGGACAAGTAGTTCGGAAATGAGAAGACAAAGTGTTAGATTCCTGAGGAGCCAACATCCGGGGAACTAGGTCTAGACTATAGGCCCCAGAGGCTCTGGCTCCCAGGAGGGGGGTGCAGCTGTGGTGGGCAAGCGAAGGGCCATGTCTTTACCTGGACTCTGCGTGTCTGAGAGGGTTCTTTCCTCGGCCTGGTAAGCTAGGTCCAGCATTAAGACAGCTGGGGTCCGGGGTAGGGTAGGGTGAGGTGAGGAGAATCGCCTGTTCTCGTCCTTTCCTCGGGAACAACTGTGCAGAATTTTAGAACAGTTTTGAGACCTAAGAATGAGCTACGAAGACCACGCAGAGGAATCCGGGAAACAGTTTGGAAAGTGGCACTCGGTGGAGGGACTGCGGCCTCTCCCTGTCAGGATCGCTGAGCTAGGGAGGGCGAGGTCCCCAGTCGGGGTCCCTCTATTTCCGGGGGGTATCTAAACGAAGCCGAGGACGAACAGGAAAGGAGGCGGGAGGAGACCCTTAGGGTTTCTTCCCAGGTTTGTGCGCAGCGCCTCTCGGCGGCCGCTCGGCGCGGCTGCAGAAGTACTTGGTGACCCGCCGGCGGCACTGCTCGCAGCGGACCGCGCAGCACCAGTGGAACTTGCAGTTGCAGCTGGACACTGTCTCGGTGCGGCGCTCCTCCACTGCCAGCCCGCAGTCCCCGCACAGCCGGCGGCAGCTGCGGCGCTCCCAGCGGCCCAGGGCTCGGCCGCGCCGCAGGCACTCTCGGCCCTCGGTGCCTAGCAGCCCCAGGGTCTTGTTCTCCAGGCAGTAGTCTGGGGAGTCCTCCAGGTGCACCAGCTCGCGCGTGGAGATGGAGCGGAAGGTGTCGGCGATGGCGCCGCGGCCCGCCGCGCTGTTGCCCGCGCCCTGCAGCAGGTCCACCTTGAGCGCCACGTGATACTTCTCTTTCAGGTGCGCGCCCACCTCCCGGAACTCGGGCAGCTGCAACCAGCAAGTCTGGGTCGTGCAGCTGCCAGACACGCCGTGGCACTTGCACGTGCGTTTCATGGTGCCCTTGACCGCCTGGGGAGAAAGCTGCGCGTAAGCAGTCCCGGCCGGCCGGGAGGAATTAATTGCAAGGCGCCTAGCTAGGGAGTGGCCAGCTGCTTGGGTAGAGTCTGTTAAGGAACCGAGGTGTTGGAGCTGGTAGTGGATGGAGCCCGCTATCTAGTAAGGGGCTGCGGGACTCACCTTGCGGCCAGCCTCATTGTTGTGCAGATTCATGGCTGCTCTGGCATCCTGTCCTGTCTCCAGGGCATCCACAAACTGCTTGGAAATTGCCTCTCCGAAGCCCACGTTGTCGCTGCAGCCTCCCCAGAGCCAGCCTTGGCCTCCTGAAAAGGCAGGAGCAGGAAAAACCATTGAGTCCCAAACTTCCTGGGCTCATGTTTCTGATTGGGTGGGTGGGTGGGTGGGTAGGTGGGTGGAGGAGAGTCTGGAATGGGAAAGGGTTAACGTTGGGTGAGTGCCCTGTTTCTGGATTGGTTTCCATCTTGATTTGTTTTTACCACCTTTTCTGTCCTCTTTCAGCCTGAGCCAATCCCCTGCTCGGGCCTTCATGACTTAACTGGCTGTCGCCTGCATGCTCCTCTGCGGGAGGGTGCACGTGTCTGGTGGGCAGGTGGTTGAAGACTGGGAAGGGACAAGAGTTCAACCTTTGAGACAGGAAGAGAGCCTAACAGAGGTGATAGGGAGTAATGAAGTCAGGAACTGAGTGAGCGGGTACAGAGGAAGGGGAAGACAGTGGGATGAACACAGGACAGGGCGACAGGAAAGAAAGTCCCCCTGGGAGGGACGAATGATTGAGTCTACACACTATTCCGTTACTATCGTGTCTAAGTTAAGGAAATTTGGGGAGGAGAACAGACCTTACACTCGTTAGAGCTGTCTCTGTAGTGTGTGGGGGCTGGAACTGGCTCGCCCTACTTGAGCGTTATTTCCCGTGTGTTTAGAAGAACACAGTTTTATTCCTCCAAGCCCCCACCATGCTTTTTGATGTGTAAGTGAACTTCCCCCGCCTGCCTGCGCTCCTCATCCCCACATTTTGACTCACCCAGTTGTCCATTTCGGGAGTCATCACAGCCACAGTTGTCAAAATCTCCAAGGCTGCAGTTTCTGGTCAGGGTGTACATAACTCCAGCCGAGCTGATGGCGTGTACAAACGCGGTCTCCCGGTTAGCTGGGGGAGCGAGCCAAAGTCCCTCAAGGGTTAGAAGAAGAGGTTGCAGCCCAAAGAAATGCTAATGTGCTGCTTCCCCTTAATGCCTTCATCACACACACACCCTCCCCAGCCTAGCCTGTTTCTCCGGAATCGGTAGCTTAGCCGCTTTCAGGACCCATCCCCTCTCCGCTCTCAGCCCTAGCCTCCTTCCCTTCCACCTTTTCAAGTCACACATTTTGTGAGTGGTTGGCTAGACTGCCGATGACATGATTATAGAGGATTTAGATGGGAAAGAACCTGAGGGGAAAAGTGGACATGAATCTGAAAGCAAAGAACCCACTCCATTTCCTCCTGGAAAGTCTAGAAAGCATGCAGTCATTCTTAAAAAACTCCCCCAATGCGGGCCTTCTCACTATTGTTTATCTTCTCTATGGTAACCTGGTCTCCAAGTTTCTCCTGGGTCAGCACCTCTCTCTAAGCCTGCTGAAAGGAGAGGCTAAGCAGTGTGAGGATTTGTTACCCTAACCTGTATCTTGGTATTGCTTAGATTGTGATGAAGCCTTAGGCCAACCCGACAGCCAAGGGCATACAGAACTGGTGATGAGGCAAAGTGTATTAAACAGTGAGGGAGAGAGAGAGAGAGAGAGACAGAGAGAGAGAGAGAGAGAGAGAGAGAGA